TGGGAAATGTGGCCGTGCCTCATATCGCTGACCCCGAGTTCCTGCTCTGTCTGTTCACAACATTTTACATCCTTTTTCTCACATTCTGCTACATATACGAACGGACCGGTCGTGAATTTGAAGCCAAAATGCTTAAATTAGAGAAACAACTAACGAATCAGCAGAGGAATGAACCACTTGTCTTTGGAATAATTCCTGCCCGGGCAGACGTACCTGTTGAGGTCAAACATGCGAACAATGTTTCCGGCGGCCGCGTAGAGCACAGAACCTGAGGGGTTCAGGGCTATCTGGTTGATCTGACATTCGCCCTGGGAAAAGGTGATCGTACGGGTGGTTGTGCCTGCACAAGCATCCCCTGAAATCACCTGTCCTGATGATCTGTCAGGGACAAGAGAAGACACAGTGTGAGGGATGGGAAGACGGATAAAAGAATGACAGAAAAATCACAACAAAAAGTAATTTTATATTAAGGTAAAAAAGAAAAACTGCAATACATTTTTATATATAAAAAATAACTATCAGCTGAATTTTTTTATTAGCTCCAAACATTTTAAATTGGCTGATTCAGAGAAAGAAAAACTTACGTGAGCGTGCGGATACATTTGGCAGAGTCGCGGATGTCCCACACCTTGATGTAGGAGGTGGAGACGGAGAAGACCAAGCCAGAGGAGGGGCAGTACTTCACCGACACCACGTTGTTCGGGTGTCCTTTAAGGGTGGTGATCTCCTGACCCGTTACCAGATTCCACATCTTACAGGTACGGTCTGGAGGTGCAGAGCAAGAGGAGTCTGACCAGTTCTTTATTTTCACCAAAGATGGAAAGTCTCTACAACTGTTGCTTTTAATGATTAGCCATTTCATTAACACATTAAACAACAACAACAAAAAACATCCTCCATCTAAATAACACATTTCTTCAATAATTTGTTTTGCGACTTCCCGTTCATTCTTGGTCGTTTAGTCATTATGGTGGTAGAGCTTATGATGAACAGGAGTAAAAACCTTCCACATCATGTGAACATCATGTTAACATCATGTTAACATCATGTCACAGTAAAATAACGTTGGATGTTTTTGCAACTCAAAGCATCACTGCATCATCCTCACACTCTGCATCTGCCTGACTCTTTGATAGCTCAATTATCACTGTGCATATTAAAAGCTCAATATTTAAGGAAATGTGTTTTTTGGTCATACCTGAAATAAAAAATAAAAAAAGTTCATATTTATTTACATGGTAAATATAATCGCTTGCTATCTAAAAATATATATTTTTAAAATCAGTAGTTTCTAAAAGCAGCAGATGCTTAAAATACTTGTGGCATGAATACAAAAAGATTAAAACATAAAATAAAAGTCTTGCACGGGTTGTTCCAAGCTGAAGCAGTCAGCTGTGTGTGCAGCAATGACAGAATAAAAAACAAAATATATTTTTAGAGTTAGACTTGATCCACAGCTTTTCCTTTGGTTGATGTCTACACAAGTGCTTCATTAAAAGCTTCTATTGTTGGTGCAGGTCTCAAAGATCTGGAAATAAATAAACATTGTACTCTGAGAATATACCTAATTAATAAAGCACACGTTGGACCAGTTTAAGTAAGAAAATCAATCCAATATGGTCTTTTATTAATGCTACTGACTTCTATTCTGAGACTTCTAGCTAGAAACAGACTAACTTAACTTAAAGTGAAATTCTGAATTGTTCATTTTAACGTAAAGACTAGAACATGAAACACCAGATGGATTTTGTTTTCTCCTAAATGTGCCAACAACAGCTCAACACCTTAACTGGTTTTCAAGGTTCACGCTCAGTAATCCAGGTACAATCCAACAATGTTCAGTCAGGTCATCTGGACAGTTTTTTTTTTTTTTGTTGAGACGTTTCGCCCTCCATTAGAAGGTTCATCAAACTGGTTGGTCCACTATAGAAACAGTTTGTTTGTGACTCCTCAGATTGATGAAGCCCTTCGGATAAAGGGCGAAACGTCTCTCGACCAAAAAATTAAAAAAAAGAAGCAGAAACTGTCCAGATGACCTGACTGAACATTGTTGGACTGGTTCTAAACTGATTCAAGTTTGCACGGCCAAAAATAAATTAATAACCTTGATGAGATATGTTTAATACTCAATCCACGTGTCAGAACCAAAATAAGATTTATTATCATCGTACAGCGAGAACATGTTCGTGCAGTCGTCCGAAAGATGGGCGGAGTGCATGTAGAGTGAGACTTGTGTCCTATTCTTGATTATTTCAAAGCCAAAACGACGACGACAATCATCAAGCTGCATGAAAAACACTTTCTGCACACTGAAACTACAACAGTTTGCCAGTACAGACAAAGGTAGAAGGCAAGTCATTACAGATGACTAACTGAATAATCCAACATACTTCAAACAACTAAGTTCATGGCGAAAACCAAAGCAGACGTTCCTGCTTTGTGCTTTTTATAATTGTCCACTGTTGTCATCTTTCTTTGTTAAAATCCAGGTCTCTCTTGGAAATGAGTCCCCGAGGCTCAATGGGATTAACCCGTATCAATAAAGGTTGAATGAAAGTACAGTCCACTAACAAGACATATAAACTGAAAAGATTTAGGTTTGTTACATGCAGTGTTTGTCTTTACGTTGCAGGTTTTGACAAATTTGGAGAAAAAAATAAATAAATAAAAGGTCAAAGTTACATAATCTGTTTTACTGCTAGGAGTTTTAGTAAAATTCACATTACACAGATATTACCAAATGTTCCTACAGCAACGGCTTTAAAACAGGAAACGTTTGTTTTTACAGTTCTAAGAGCTTAGGTAATGTGTTTTTGTTGAGTCTACCTTTAGATCCGGTGAACAGCAGCTCATCTGTAGCATCCACGCTCAGAACCGGCTTCGAGTGGCCCTCGGCTACAGAGGCACACTGCAGGGGTGCTGTCCGACCCCCCTTCACGCCCCCGATGGGATTGATCACACCCCTAGAGATCACAAACACAGACAGTGTCACAGCCTCCTCGGCGTCAATCAGGCAGGACGAGCTCTCTGTTGATCTAAAGTGGATGTAGAGTAAGAAACAGGCCGACTGAACACGCATGCAGAAAATAAACACATAAACCTTTGTATCTGTACACAAGTTCCATTTGAAACAGACTACTGAATTACAGTGGTCTCCTCTCTGAGCTACTGTACCTTGGCCACGTCCTGCTTAACATATTATGAAGCAGATTTATGTCCTAATAATATCAGTAATACAATATGATACACTTCCCTGTTGGCTTAAGCCCAGTTCTTCTGTCTCTCTGTTCTGCTCCCTCTCCACCATCCCTCCTTTTTGTTGCAGAGCAGGCCAATTAAAGCGCTACAACAGTAACGGCTGCTTCCCCGTTTCACTCGGCACTTCTTCCTTTCTAAGACATACGGAAACACAGAGCCGCTTCTTTATTATGTGCACTCAGTTCACTCAAGCTGGACCACGGTCTCTGTTCTACACACACACAGGCACACGCTCCAATCTATGTCCCTCCAACAGGCCAGTCCTAGAACGCCTGGAGAGCAATCGGCAGAGTAAGGCAGAGCAGAGAGAGGGAGCTGTGGAAAAGAATTGGTCCCTGGTGGGCTTCACGGGTACTGGTGTGTGTGTTTGTGTGAGAAAGTGTGAAGAAAAGTGCAAAACGCACAGAGAGAAACAGAGGATGTGAGGAAGTCAAAGAAAACTGTGACTGCACACCAAAATCAAACAGATTTGTTTCTGCACAGAGGGAGCAAACTACAGAGCCGTGCGTCGAGGAGGGCGACGCGCTCCTCCACTGCGCCAGCTGATGTGCAAAACCACACGAGCACGACAAACCAAAAGCAAAACTTTGTGTCGTCGTTATATTTCAGCGCCAAACAAAATGGGAACGTCTCATTCTCAAGCCGGTGTTTTCACCGCATGCATGCACGAGTGCAAAGTTTCACAAAACGCACACCAATAAAAATAAATAAAAAAAAAAAGGGTTTGCCACAGAACAAGCTCAAAAGCGATTATTACGAAAAGCCACAGCTGGAAGACGAACTCCACGGACGATAAACCTCAGCACAGCATCTCAGGATGTCATCATCGCCACATGCAGCAAACTGTGCATTTGCCCCCGAACTCCCAGCACCACCTCAGCCGGTTCCCTTCAGGTGCTCGGAGAACAGGCGGTGAGGCACGTGTAGGTGGAGTGACGTTACACGCCCATAACACTCAGGTTATCAGCCTACACAGAGCTAGTGTTATGTTGTAGAATGAACTCTGCGTCAGAAGCTCATTGCAAATTCAATTTCCAATCTGATTTAAACCATTATCGAGTTCTTCGATTCCTACAAATATTTGGGTATCTTGGTCGACTCACATCTCTCTTTTAAGCTCCACGTGAAAAACTTGGTAAAGAAACTGAAAGTTAAACTGGGTTTCTTTTTCAGAAACAGATCCTGTCTAACTCTGAATGCTAGAAAACGCCTTGTATCTGTGACTTTCCTTCCCTCCATTGATTACGGTGACATCATTTACATGAACGCTCCTAC